TTCTCTTCAGAGGTAACAGCTATACTGATTTTGTTGATAGTCATTCTCATGTATGGTTTTTTTTTAGATTTTTATTTATTTGAGAGAGAGAATGAGAGAGAGAGAGAGCACATTGGGGGGGGAGGGTCAGAGGGAGAAGCAGACTCCCCACTGAGCAGGGAGCCCGATGCAGGACTCGATCCCGGGACTCCAGGATCATGACCCGAGCCGAAGGCAGTCGCCCAACCGACTGAGCCACCCAGGCGCCCCCTCATGTATGTTTTTATACTTTAATTACACATGGATGTATATATAAATGATACATTCTATATTTTGGGTATTTTTGAAATTTTATAGAAATGATTTGACTCTGGGAAATTTCTGCTGTTGGCTTTTTCCACTTCATATTATGTTTTTAGTTTTTAGGTTCAGTCATGTTGATACCTGTGAGTCTTGTTCACTGCTCCTGGATATCCCCTGTACACCAAGGTATTCTCACACTGGGGGACATTCCCACTGTTGCTAGTGTTTTGCTCTGGACCTTTAAAGAGCAGGCCTCCCCCAGGGAGACATGGACATTCTTATACACATCTCTTTGGAAGGCCTGATCTTTAAATGCCAAGTTTGATTTTTGACCCCTTTTTGAATTAGTTTTTGTGAATCTGAATAAGCTGTTGTATCTCCCTGGGCCTCAGTTTGGTTAGGCACAGAGGGAGGACTGAACTAAATAATCTCTAAGGTTCTTTCCAAGCCTAGAATTCTGTGATTCCTTTCCAGCTTGCTTCTCTCCCTCCTTACAGTGTATAGTGTGTATCAGTTATGAGCAACTGCTTAGCATGAGAAGCAATTCAGAAAAAAAAAAAATCTGTGTGTGTATGTAGTTAAATTCAAAATGAAAATGACTTTGAGTCCCTTGGGAATGTTTTCTTACAATGTAGATTTCCTATTCTATTGATTAGATAAATATTAATGACAAAACTGGCACTGCTTTAAAGCCATCAGAAAGTTAATGTTGGGGCTTATTCTAGTAAACATGGAAGCAGTGTTGGAGTCTTGTCTCCTGAGTGTGGATTGTTGGGCTGTGTTACCAGCTGGGCAGGCTGCATGAAGCCTGGTGGCTGATGGATTGCTCATGAGTTGGGATGACTCAGGGTCGTCATTTTGAACATGAGTTACTGTATTATGTGTTGCCAAGAAATGATGCTTTCTAAAAGACTGTTGAAATATGAAGGGCTTTTTTTTTCACCCTAAGCGTAATGCCCTTCAGAAGCTATGTTTTTGAGATTGTATAATCTTTTTAAATGAAGGAAAAAAAAAAGTTGCTCCCTTCCTGCCAGAATGAGCTGTAGTTCTTGCTGCTGTTGATATGACTGCCTGCTCCTTCTTTGCAGCCTCTAATTATCGGAGGCTAGGGCACAGGCCAGCACTTTGGAACTATAGTCTCAGGGACTCTCGGGCAGTGAAGATCACGGTTTAGCGCAGAGATATCGTGGCAACGACATGGGTTGCTTATTGTCTTTTTTTTCCTTCATATTTTCTGTTTGTGGCTGAACACTAGATGAAATACTAGAGTTATTATCAAACTTGGTAACTTACACGTCAGGGTAGTAGTGATAGCTGTTATGATTTGTCCATTTCATATAGCTATGAATAGAACATTTTACTAATTGATAGATTGGAGTATTATTCTAACAGATACTGTGATCGATTCACTCTCCTATTTTTAGCAGTCCTGTGGGTCAGGAAAGTGACCCAGCTCCAGGGATGGGTCTTGATCAATCTAAATTTAGGGATGAGTTTAGATTAATCCAATCTTGGTGACTGCCCATGGCCGTGATTAGTTCCGGAACTCAGCATTAGCCCCTAGAACATGACATTTCATGGTTATAATTCTAGAAATAAAACATGAAGGAAAGGTCGCTGGAGGCTTTGAGGAAACATTTCCTCCCTTTGAAGTGAGAGGCACAGGAAGATGATCTCTTTTCTTCTCAGTATTGCTGTTGTGGTCAGGAACTGTTATCAGTCAGGGGATGAAATTGATACTCCCAAGGGGACAGAGCCAAAGGAGGTACAGAGAAATGAGCTGGAACTACTGGATTGAGCCATCCCTGAACCTCAGCTCATCACTGGGCTTATTATATGAGTCAACAAATTACCTTAAGCTAGTTTGATTTGAGGTTTCTATTATTTGCAGCAGAGAGCATCCTAATTGATATAATTACATTACTGTATTATGACTGGTTATTCTAATTCTGGAGTAGTCTCAGGAAGTTATCTTTTCTTTAAATTTTAAAGTGAATGTTAATCCACCATATAGTCTACTGTTGTTATTGCCAAACTAGTTGTAATGTAACGATCTTGATTTTCATAGTGTAATAGATTTCTTAGCATCCTTACTATTGTTACTATAGTACACTAAGAAAACTTTGAACTTCGGAGGTGTTCTTAGTTCTCCCCACACTTACTAGAATGTAACTTTTACTTACTTGCCTAAGAGTATTTAACCTTTTATTATCTACTGTTTACATGTTTCTGTATGCAATCTAACTAGAAAAGAGAGGATGGACCCTTTGATTGATTTGAGAGCAATTCAGAGCAATGTGTTAACAAAACCAAATAACACAGGATTAAGCCAGGACTTGCCATGTCAGGGATGGACATGGCCAAGGAGAGAGCTGAGGGAGGATGGGGGTGGGGGAGGGCGCATGGGTGGAGTGGCATCCTCGGGGAAGGCTGCTACGTGAGGTGGCCATGCACATGCAGAGGGGAGGAGGTGTGGGGCAGTTGGAGAGAGGCTCTGAGGGTGGCAGGGTCAGGAGAGCAGTGCCTCCGAGAGGCTGTATTGCCAGGCAGAGGAAGTTGGACCCACAGCTTCTTAAATAGTGAGGTGCTATTACCACAGAGATGGTTAACAGTTACTCTCACAGTGGCACACAGGGGAGCTAGACCAGGGAGAGAGGTTGGCACTGAGTCCTGGGAAGCTGTTACCATAATTCATGCGTCAGGTGACAAGAGCTGTAGGATAATAGCGTCTCAGTATGTAATACCTTACATCGATATGGAATTTCAGAGTTCCCAAAGCATATTCAAACACGTTATCTAATTTATCTAATTACGTCCCCTCACCCTTTTTTATGGATGAAGATACAGAGGTTCAGAGCAGTTAAGAACCTCCCAAAAGCTGTCAATTACAGAACCCAACCTACAGTTTATAGGTCTTTGGACTTTCAGGTCTGGTGCTTTTCAGTAATAATATAAATGACATTTTCCATTATTAGTGAAATTTCAGTTGTGCTAATTTGACTCGGCTCTGTGCATTTGTCTGTCAGCTGGCTCCTGACAGCAGTGTAAACAAAAGCTAAGCACCACTGCTCCTAACTCCTCTAAACACCGAACACCTCTGAACAGTGAAAAGATGGTGAAGTATCACAGAAAACGGTAGGACCTCCTCAAATTACAGAAAGGTGATTCTTCTCACAAATACAAAAAACAAAAGGCAGGGTGTCAAGAAAGTTTCCTAAATGTTTTAAATGAATGGAGAGTGCCTGAGACTTTAGGGAGCCTCCAAGTGGCAGCCTTTTTGGGTGCTCTCAATATTTATATGTAGAAACATTGTGGTAACATAGTATTGAAGGCTTTTCTCCCCCCAGAATAACTGCATTTAATGTTTAAGTCAATTTAGCGGATACGTAATTGACACATTTTCTTGAAATGTCATGGAAACCGCTTTTAAGGGGTTCTGAACAGAATGCAAAAGAATAGAAAAATAAAAGCCAAGTGGCCAGATGATAAAGATTTAGCAAATTGCATCCAGGTTGTATTCATTAACTTGTCCCTTCAGAGAGTAGCAGCTTATTCCTGAGAAGTGTAGAGCATTCTGATATTTGTCAAGGACTTTGTGGTTCTTTGTAATTGAAATTGCTAAATAAGTTTTGAACTACCAAAGTGCGGGGTGGGGGGGTTGGAATTGGTGAGGGAGGGTTAGACTTTTAACTGCCAGGGCCCCCAAACAACTTTCACGTGGTACCTGCCTGGCCCACTTGAGTGCTACTTACAGGTTAGAGTCACCTGGAGAGCTTTTAAAATTACCAGTGCACGGATCCTAGCCTTGACCAACTAAGCTGGAATCTCAGAATTTGAGGAAGGGAGCAGACCTAGTCATAAGTAGTTTATTAAAGTTCTCCAGGCAATCCTAAAGTTCAGCTAGGGCTAAAAACCTTATTCTAGCTATTTTGGCTCCAGCCAGTAAGCTGCAAGAAACATTTATTAAAATGTACATACGAGGGGGGCCTGGTTGGGCGTCTGCCTTCAGCTCAGGTCATGATCCCAGGGTCCTGGGATCCAGCCCCACGTCCAGCTCCTGGCTCGGCGGGGAGCCTGCTTCTCCCTCTCCCTCTTTCCTCTCCCCCCCTGCTCATGCTCTCTCTCTCTCTGTATCTCTGTGTCTTGAATGAATAAATAAAATCTTTAAAAAAAATGTAAATACGATACTTGCTAGCTGTATAAAATAAATATGTAGGTTTTCCCATCCCTGAGCTCAAATAGGCAGGTTTGGGGGCTTGGGGTTTTGTTTTTCTCCTTAGCCAGTTGCAGATCCTAAAGAACACATGGCAGGAGATGGAGGAAGACGTTCTAAAGAGGTCCCATGGCGTTTTTTTTAGGGAAGGATGTGGCAGGAAGGGTAGGAATCATTGTTTATATGTGTTTCAGGAAGCAGAAAATATGGCATGTTCCAAGTCTATCTAAATTATGTAACTTTGAGGGATGTGATCCATTTGGATCAAAATAATGAGGCATATAATACATTGCATTTAACATGTGGGAATTCTTTGCAGAGTAATTAGCATTCCTTTCTTCAGCCTGTATTCAGAGGAAACATACCATTCACACCCTCTCTGTGTTCACATTTTCCAGTGCGTTGGAGAGCTTTTTTTTTTTCAATAGAAATCTTTGTCCTTTTCCTAATAAGACTTGGATTATATTCGGAGAAATTTAGCATTTCTTTTTCTTTTTTCTGGCAGGAATTGATTTTAAAATCAGAACGATAGAACTAGATGGAAAGAAAATTAAGCTTCAGATATGGTAAGTAAAAAAAAAAAATTATACACACAGTTTCTTCCTTCATCGGGAATTGAAAGTGGGAATTAAAATGTGAATTGTGGTAAGTTAGAGGTAACTTGTGATAGCTAAAACATCTTTTCTTTACCAGAACCAAGGGAAGTAAGTATTCAAAGGTATCTCCACCAAGAACGGGAAGGTAAGGAATGATCTTACAGCTGGAAGGGATCCGAGAACTCATTCTTCCCAGACACTAATTTTGTAGGGAAGGAAAGAAAAGCTAAAGAGAGTGTATACACTTTTTCATTGTAGTTGTTGCAGCTTTGAAATCAGGTAAGGCAACAGTAGTCCCATGGTAGGAACCCTGAGCGGGTTCTTCTAAGGAAGTACATAGATCTAGGTTCTAGGTTCTCTCAACTGAGGGCCTGGGCCAGTTGCTTCCCTTCTTAGGGCCTGTTTTTCCTCAATGGTAAATTGGTTGGTGAGCCTGAAGACATCTGAGTTCCCCTCCAGATCTAACACTTCATCATTTGTTTTCATGTTTCTTCTCTTCAAATAAAAAAAAAATGAGGACCACCAAACCGATCTAATGTGTGATGATGACAGCAGTAGACAAAGCTTAGAAATTTAGAGCAGCCTAGATTACAAAGCAGGCAGGGCAAAATAGTAAAGTAATATATATCAGCTTTTTTCTTAGGCTGTTTTTCTTCTTTAAATCTAAGAACCAGGACAGAACTAGAGCATCATATTGAGATCCACTGGTCCTTCTTTTACAGAGGAAGAACTTAAAACGGTTAAGTCCATCTGAGGGCATCTCTCTGGGTCAGTGATAAAGCTGAGACAACTCCCCAAATGTGGAGTGATGTGTCAGCTTTATATATTAGCCTAGTGTAGTGGGTCCCGGTGTATTCGTTGGAAAACATGGTGAAGGTTACCAGAGGTTGCCCTTTTCAAAAATCTATTCATATTTTGTAAGAGGCCAAATATTTTAAAGATATTAAAAAAAATTTAAGGGAGAAGCAAAGAGAATTTCTGACTGTGTGCTGAAGAGTCCTGACCATAGCAATAAGAAGTGTTTCTAGGAGCCTGTGGGCAGTCAGCTAGCAGTCAGCTAATTTAGAACTTAATATAACATCATAGCAGTATTTATCAATACTCTCAGCAGCAAAATAAGACTCCATTTAGGCTTCACAACCTGTATTTAGTATGGCAGGGGTTCTCCTCTATCCTCCCTGCAGAGCTGGTTCTAAATCAAGTAGTGTGTTAGACCAAAATATGGTTAGTTGGCTCAAAGATGCTTGGCTTCTGTTTTCCCCATGATATGTTTGCCATATACCAAACAAGTGCCCTGGGCATCTAATCCTGATCAGTGAGAGAATGGCAAGGTAAGATGACTGTGGTGGGAAGCCTGGCCCTGCCCTCAACAGCTGAGACCTTAGGATGCTTGAGGGTCATTCCAGGGGCTTAGCTATTTAATGGTTCAGTGGCAGACCATAGCCCAGCTGAGCCTATTGTCTCTTCTGCAGAATGAGGATGAGTGTCCTACCACTACACTGGTAGTGGTATCACTTGAGCACAGACGAACGTATTTTGTAGGGTATATATAAATATATATAAATATTAAGGTATATTATTAATGTTTTTAATTTTCTCTATTTCCCTTGGGCCTCCATCTCTTGTTTGGGTTGGTGTGCATTAGACTTCTAGTGTATTTCCACAAATGCCTTTCTCCCCTGCAATTAAATTGTACAATGTAGTTTGCCTTAACAGCACAGGGAGTGCATTAGTTCTGGTGGTGCGTGGCAAATTTAGAAATACTGACTTACCCAGATATCAAGGAAATTTGACTCCCTTTATAAGCATTGCTTCAATCAATGTAATGAGAAATTCCTGAATTTTTCAGAATGGATTTTAAGAGAATGTCATGAGCCAAAAAGCAAGAATACATGAAAGGGCATGTAATTTTGAGGTGTTGTTCATATTTTAAAGTCTTTGGAAACATTGTCAACCATTATGTTTGAAAACTCCAGGCTCCTGTCTTGAGGAGATCCGTTTCAGTGTGCTCTGCTGAGCAGAATTCACACAGTAGTAAGTCCAGCCCAGTTGCTTGCTTTATACAGAAATCAGACTTTCAGTCAAGAGAGCAAAATGCCTTAATCATGAGGCATTTATAAAAAGGATTATAACTACTTGCAGGGGTCCAAGAATTTAGAACTATTCTCCATTCTCTTCCACGTGTGTTTGACTAATAGGACGTGCCAGTTCCTAGCAGGGCCATGTATTTTCTCGTTGCTGCTTTTATCATCAAGGTCCAAGTTTCCCACCAAAGTCATTATGAGCTCCTGACAGGCCCCTGTGACCACCTCCGCCTCCAGCTCGCAGACGCATGGCAGGCTCCCTTTGCATCTCATTCCCCTTTCCCTTGAAGCCACTGCCTTTGTGAGCCGCCCAGGATTTTCTCCACAGCTTAAGGTCTCTCCTCAGTGATGCTGGTGATAACTTTTAAAACCACCCTCTCCTTTGTTTCAAATTTTAGGGACACAGCAGGTCAGGAAAGATTTCGAACCATCACAACGGCATACTATAGAGGAGCCATGGTGAGTGTGTTTTAGGGTTTTGTAACTCTTCAGGTGAAAGTAAAACGTGAATATTCATTTGTCAGGTTTCTAGGATCCAAGCTAGAGTGTAGTACAGTGGGGGAGATAGGTTTTGGAATGTGAAAACAAGACATTTAAAGGGTTTTTCTATGTTCTGTGTTTAGTAACTGCATGCTTTGACATTGGTCTTCATAATATCCATGAGGTAATTAGCATATAGATGTTTTGGAACTCCTCCACACTTTCTGAGCAATTGTATATCTTAGTGAAAGCTGGGAGACCAATTAAAGACAGTGACAGTAATTCAGGTAAAGGCTAATAGACGAGAATATGAACAAGGCCGTGCATGGGAGCTGTGGGGTCAGAATTGGGAGATACTGTGGTTGTCGGGCCTACAGGACTTAGTGACTCCCTGGCTGTGAGGAGGTAACTCCCAGGGGTCTGCTTGGGCTGGCTGGCAGGGTTGTATTGCCCTTTATCAAAACAAGAGTACAAGGAGGAAGACAAGATTTGGAGGGGACAAAGACAACCTTGTGTTTTACTTAGTTGAGTTTTTGGTGACCGCACGGGACATTTGGGAGCTGATCCCGGGTCATTGGTCTCCAAAGCACATCTGACCCTATCTCTCTTTTTGGCTTCACCTTGTGCCCTTCTCCCATTTGATCTGTGCACTCTTACCAAGCTGACTCTTTCAGTCAGCTTTCAGTCCAGTGGGTTCTGGGCCGTTCTGGTCAGCAGGATACTTAAAACATTTCTGCTCTGTGCCAGGCACTGTGGGCTTTCCCTTTTCACCCCAGCCTCAACCCCATGGCCCAGTTCAAGTCTACGCAGACCTCAGGTCTTGGCTTTAATGTCATTTTCTCAGGGAAGCCTTCCCTGACCGCCCCATCCCCTCAGCCAGATTAGATCCACATTTGTACTCAAAACTCCCCATACTTCTTCATAGCAATTGTCAAAGTTATAACTAAGTGTATAATTATTGGTTTATTGTTTTCTTTGCTAGCTGTCCATGAGAGGAAGGGGCCTTGTCTATCTTGCCCACGGCTGGTAGCACAAAGTATAGTATCAGGCACATAGTGGGTGTTCACTAAATATTTGTTGAATGGACAGACGGATGGGTAGGTCTGGCACTTAATACAGGAGTACGGTCTGGTGATACAGATTTTGGAATAGTTAGCATACAAGTGTCAGTTGATACATTTAGGAGATAGACCTTTTAGAAATACCAGACATGAGGGTCTTTAAAAATACGATTACAATCAATGCCTTTGATTAAACCTGTATAATATTAAGTGTCTGCGATTTATGTAGACAGATAGTGGCATTTTGGTCAGCCCATGTAAGAAAAAATGATTTTATTTTTTTAAGGATAAAAATACTTTTAAAGCAGTATGGTTACGATCTTAGTATAGGACTAAGAAGCAAGACATTCCTACTTGCAGTAATCAAGTACACAACGGAAGTGATTACCTCTTCTCTCATCACCATCTCTGTTTTAACTTAAACACTCCTTTAGCTTCATTTGGTGCTGATTCTTATCATGTGCAGTCAGGTAAAAGGGTGTATCACCTTTACCATAATCACTAATTCATTAAAGGTTAACAGTAAAAAAAACTATTTACATGGTGAGACAGTGGAAGAATTTATTTATCTATTTTTCCTTCTTTGTACTTTAAAATTTGTATTATAAATCCCTTTTGATTAAAAAGACAAAACAAAGGACAAACAAAAGGTTTCTGGAGGGTAGGAATACGCTGACATTATATTCTATAACTTTAAATATATGACTTTACTAAATAAAGATTTTTCTTACAGGGAATTATGCTGGTCTATGACATCACAAATGAAAAATCCTTCGACAATATTAAAAATTGGATAAGAAACATTGAAGAGGTATGTATGGAAAGAGAATGATGATACTAGAGAGGAGTCCTGCTGGGTGCTTGCAGAGGGCTCCTTCTGTCTCTGGAAGAGGCAGCGGAGCCGCTGAGAAGTAGGCCAGGGGCAGGTCAGGCCCCCTCGCTCTGAGGAGCATGGACGGAGTGATCTCTGGTGCCTCCAGTCCGACCGCTCTGTCAGATGGGGAGCTACACACAGAGGAGCAGTCTCAACGAATTTGAAACTTGGGCCGGATCTTGAAAATAATTTAATCAAGTCCCCATTTTATGCATGAGAAAACTGAGGCCGGAAAGAAGAGACTTGTTTGTGCTCCTCTAGCTTTAACATCTGACTTCCAGCTTCTTGCTTTCTGACTGGCAAAGGTCTCTCTCTATTCCAGCAACTTCTCATTTTTCCCTTCTAACATTTTCTCCATTGTAGATAGTTGAAATTTGGTTTAATTCCAGATTGACTGGTATTAAGATTTTTTTTTAATGTCTTTGACATTTCAGAAAGAAATCTCTTTTTTTTAAGATTTTATTTATTTGACAGAGAGAGACAGCGAGAGAGGGAACACAAGCAGGGGGAGAGGGAGAGGGAGAAGCAGGCTTCCCGCGGAGCAGGGAGCCCGATGTGGAACTCGATCCCAGGACCCTGGGATCACGACCCGAGCTGAAGGCAGACGCTTAACAACTGAGCCACCGAGGTGCCCTAAGAAATCTGACTTTAAAATCATTTTGTAGGGCGCCTGGGTGGCTCAGTCGTTAAGCGTCTGCCTTCGGCTCAGGTCATGATCCCAGGGTCCTGGGATCGAGTCCCACATCAGGCTTCCTGCTCAGCGGGAAGCCTGCTTCTCCCTCTCCCACTCCCCCTGCTTGTGTTCCTGCTCTCGCTGTGTCTCTCTGTCAAATAAATAAATAAAAAAAATCTTAAAAAAAAAAAAAAATCATTTTGTACACATTTATATTAACCTACATGATTTCATGTTTTAAGTAGCTCAGAATCCAGAATACCTTCCTCATTGCCTCACTCAGTGCTGTTTTTTCCTTCTTTGACCCAAACTAATCTTTGGAAGTTTTACTTCTGTTTGTTTATCTACAAAAAAAGCCATGAGAATGACTGCAAGCCTTTGGGGAAAAGTTTGCATAGGTTCTTATGCAAACTTTACCCTCCTCCCATCTTTTCAATTTTTCCCTGCATCAAGCCTTGTGTTGAGCCAAAGATTATTTGTCTTACTATTAAATTTATGGATATGTTTCTGACAGGTTAGGATTTGTCTATTGAATAACTGTATTTTGCTCAGGCTGTTTTTATAACGTATTATTTCCTCCCTGCAGCATGCCTCTTCAGATGTTGAAAGAATGATCCTGGGTAACAAATGTGATATGAATGACAAAAGACAAGTGTCAAAAGAAAGAGGAGAGAAGGTAGATTTGAACTGAAATATGCATGAAGTTGGGCATCTATTTGCACTAAGCATTTATTTTCTTAGTATTACTTAATTATTGGTTTTAGTTGAAAAAATATCTGTATTTTAATCCTTTAAAAAAAAACAACAAAGAGATGTAATCCATACTTGCTTGAATGGTGTGAATTAGTATTCGAGATCCAGCTCCATATACTGTGTAGTCATGACTCATTCCTGAAGAATTTGCTGTTTTCTGGGAGATACAAATTAGTCCTTTTTCAGATTCCTGCAGCTTAGAGTTCATGCTGTTTCTTCCATATCTGTGTGAAAATGCCTAGTTTTAAAGGTCAAGTAAATCATTCTCTTCAAATAAAAGTAATCGGATAGGTGAAGTTTAAACAGTAATCATATTCCAATTCATTATTTTTTTCTTAAGAATATTTTACACCATATTAGATTTAGGTCATTATGGATAAACTGCTTGTAACTCATCAAGCTGTGGATGTCATTTTTAGGCTTTTCTCTATTTTGTATCCTGCAAAAAAAGCAAGAGTTTATTACATGTACATATTTACTTCTGTGACATTTTCTAAATTAACTTAGAGGCTTCAGTTTTTAAGTCTTGGAATTTTGCTTTAGCCTTTTTTTAGTGATGCATACAAAATGTGTTTTGTTTTTAAATCTGACTGCAAACTTTTTTCCCCTAAGAACATTCATTTAATCTTGTTATTTTAAATAAACTGGGAGCTTTTGGGGAGTAGATGGAAATAGAAACCAAATAAAAATGAAAGCAGTGAGTACTTGGCATTTTAAGCTTTCATTCTTTTATGTACCGATTTATTAAAAAATAATGAAAAGTCAGTTTAGTAACTGTTGGAGAGTCGTACTTTGGGAGCAGGTGAAAGGGGTCAATGAATCCCAAATTAATGATAGGAGCGAGTATCTGTCTCACGATTTTTCTTGTAAGTATATTAGAGAATAAAGTATAATAGAAAAAAAAGAATAACTTAAGTCATGTTTTGATGGAAGTGCTGCCATTTTACTTATTAAGTTAGATGTCTACATTTCAAACACAGAAGAAAGCAAAGAAATTTGAGAACCACGCAGTTCTCAACTAGATCCTCTACCTTTGGGACTTTGAACAACCTAGAAAATGGAAATGCTTTATATGTTGAAGTAACTTGAACGGAATTTAAATGTTTTTGTTTGCCTTTCAGTTAGCAATTGACTATGGGATTAAATTCTTGGAGACAAGTGCAAAATCCAGTACAAACGTAGAAGAGGTAAGAAAGATGTTCGGTAACCTATTATGGGGTAGCATTAGAGCTTAGGTGCCTGTGTTCAAGCAACTCTCCAAGCCTTGTCATTTTCTTAGTGAATGCCTTCTGTGAGCTCCACCTCCATTTTGTGAACTTCTGTGCTTCTGACTTTTATGTGGACCTAGGTTCTTGAATTTCTAGCACCCAGCCCCCACGTGGGCTATATGAGATTGCTCAATTAAGATTCACTGAGCAGAAGGTAGAAGTTCCATTCAAGTTCAGCTTTGCCCTTTGTTCGGGAAGCCAGAAATCCCTCACTCGCCGACCAAGCACAGTGTTTTCTGCTCATTTATCATGGTTCATGTCATCCTATAATAGCCTGTAGCAGGAGAATCTTAATTCCTTTCATGTCTGTGCTCTCTCAAGAGAGAATTAAACTGATTATTGAACAGATTCCCTTAGATTAAACATGATACATTGTAACACGACAGCATTTAGTAGAAATAAATGTGTTTATCAGAGAGTAGTTTTAATAAATTTTCAGTAAGTGAATTGTTAAAGACAACCAAATCATCTAAAGTCTTCTAAGAATAGATTTTCTTTACCAAGGGCAGAGTTGTTGATAATATTTTCTTTTTTAAAAACATTTTTTAGGGACTCCTGGGTGGCTCAGTTGGTTAAGGGTCTCCCTTTGGCTCAGGTCATGATCCCAGGGTCCTGGGATCAAGTCCTGCATTGGGCTCCTTCTGCTTGTGCGTGTACTCTCCCTCCCTCCCCCACTCTCTCTTTGATAAATAAAAAATAAATAAATAAAATATTTTTTAGACTGGTTGTAAAAATGATGCATGTGTGGGGGCGCTTGGGTGGCTCAGATGGTTAAGCGTCTCCCTTTGGCTCAGGTCATGATCCCAGGGTCCTGGGATTGAGCCCTGCATCGGATCCCTGGCTCAGCGGGAAGCCTGCTTCTCCCTCTCCCTCTGCCTCTCCCCCTGCTCATGCTCTCTCTCTCTCTCTCTCTGTATCTCTGTGTCTCAAATGAATAAATGAAATCTTTTTTAAAAAACGATACATGTGTGTTAATACATATCATTCAATAAACAGTAATATTGATGGTTTTGTAGACATTTAATTTCTTAGGCTACCACCATTCACCATAACATTATGCCTAAAAAATCAAGATTTAAATGACTTTATTGGTTAGGGGACACCGATCAGAACTTTTTCTTTGTTTTCAATAACTAATTTCTTCAGGTTGGCTAGTGGTTGTTAGGAAACAGGAAGCTTCTGTTGATTTATTTACACAGTCATAGAAAAGCAGAAAAATGCTTCCTCTTGCTTTGCCCACAAGAGGATTTCCTTACGTCAGAAAGAGGGGAGCCTCTTAAGTAGAAACAGGAGAAAATTTGTGCACTGAAATGACCCAGGTAGGGTCGCTCCCACAAAGTGAACTCCATACTCTGGCTTAATGGAGCAGGTTTAAGCCTCTGTTCATGGCTACACCCCGATTGAATCTGTGGCTCAAAGAGAGCTTTGAGTTATGGAAGTACAGAGCTGGGAGTTGCCCGAGCTGCTTATTCTGACCAGGTATTCGGTAGAAATTAGCAGTTTTTCCAGAACCTTTAATTTAGCATAGTTAGCTTTTCATAAAAGCTGGGATGGGCTTCTTTAGAAGCAGATTCACAGATGACCAGTGTTGACAGTGCAACATTGATAATAAGTGATGTTGGTGATTATCATATTGTTTCTATTCAACTTGATTGGACATAATCCTTCTGCTTAACATCTTTGGGGGCATCAGAAGTCGTTGGGAACAAAGAGACTGACGTGTGTTTAGCATGGAGACAACTGAAGACTTTTTTTTTTTAAGATTTTATTTATTTATTTGACAGACCACACAGTGAGACACAGCAAGAGAGGGAGGGAACACAAGCAGGGAGAGTGGGAGAGGGAGAAGCAGGCTTCCTGCGGAGCAGGGAGCCCGACCTGGGGCTCGATCCCAGGATCCTGAGATCCTGACCTGAGCTGAAGACAGGTGCTTAACGACTGAGCCACCCAGGCGCCCCCCGAAGACTCTTTAAAAAGAGTCTTGGCTCTGTAGAGGGGGCCTGGCTGGCTCAGTCAGTGGAGCATGCAACTCTTGATCTTGGGGTTGTGAGTTCAAGCCCCACGCTGGGTGGAGAGATTACTTAAAAATAAAATCTTAAAAAAAAAAAAAAAGTCTTGGTTCTGTAGAAACAAAGTAGAGATGATAGGTTTAAAAAATGTTTTGTTTGGGTCAAGACACCTAGGCACAAAATGTCACTGAGATTGATCAGATATGTCCTTCTATTTGAGCTGGTTTCCACAGTGGGGAATTTAGCTGAGCTAAGACATAGAAGATGAAAAAACTCTCAGGTACAAGAGTGAAAGTATTTTGAAAGAGAAGAGATTGGGGATAAAAGGTAGAGATTTTTGTGAAAACAGATTCTAGAGCTCTAGAGTAATACATAATTATTCATCCAATTATTAAACAGATATTCAGCATCTCCAAGATAAGACACTGTGCCCTGCTCTGAGGACCTGGGGTGACCTAGAACCTCTGCCCCGCCCCCCAGGTGCTTTTGGTATACTGAGGAAGCTACCTATAACTCAAGAGTGTCACATTAGGAATTTGTGCCAGATACTATGTGCAGAAAATATTTGATGAATGAATGAATGATAAGTTTTTTAAAAATTTTATTTATTTTAGAGAGGGAAAGAGTGTGCATACGTGAGCAGGGGGAGGAGGAGAGGGAGATAATCTCCAGCAGACTCCGCACTGAGTGCAGAGCCTGACCCGCGGCTCAGTCCCACAACCCCAAGATCACGACCCAATCCGAAACCGAGAGTCAGATGCCCAACCAACTGAGCCATCCAGGCGCCCCGTGAATGACAGTTTTATAATCCTGGGAAGTGTTTATGATATCATTGAAAAATAAGATAAAATACTCAAGTGTATACTACGATTACGGTTATGTTCTTTTCTCAATTAAAAAGTGTCAAATAATGTTTTATAATGAAATAATGAAAAAGTCTACATTTCTATTTTAAAATATAGACATATATTAATAATTTTTTTGGTTTACCTTTAGGCATTTTTTACACTTGCACGAGATATAATGACAAAACTCAACAGAAAAATGGTTTGTATCATTTATAATTTTTATTTTCATTATGCTATTTGTTAAATTTGTTTTCTTATTTTTGCTGTTTATTTATTTGAATAAAAAGGATAGGCCTGATTATAACATATTCACATTGACTCATTTTTTTCCTGACTCACGTATTCACCTGGTTGAATTTTGATTCTTATTTCTGTTTCTTCAAGTTTCTTACTTCTGTACTGCGGGTCCTTCCGTTCTTTCATCTGACTCTCTAGGTGGTCTTTAATGGAATTCTGACCAGAATAATTAAAATAATAATGGCACAAATTTAATTTTTGCCATAAAATTATGTAGTTTAGTTTTAATGTGACAGATATTTATATCTCTATATAATTGTGATCATAAAGTTGCTAAATTCGCTTAAATTAGAAATGATGTCAGTGATGAATCACGAGGACCACCTGGAAAGTTTGTTTTCACCAGAATCCTGAATGTAATTGTATACCTTACATTAGCAACTGTTCTTACCTCTGGCAAGAGGATTGCCTATATCAGTATCTTAACATTGTTTCCATCATTACCCTTGAAACTTTACACTCCATTGGCTATAATTTCTCTGAACTGGAAATAGCTCCCCATCTAATACATTATTAATATAAAAGGTGCTATCCTAAAAAATATGTTTCTCATTTTAATCCACCATTTCCAAAGATACAGATGACATCAGAGCCTGATGAGTCCCCTTTCTAAAAAATACTCTCCTGAATACTTATTTGTGGTGTGGTTTGATATTTGTATGTTTTAGATAATTGGGATCAAACCATGAAACTTTTATTTCCTTGGTAACTTCATCTTCTCTTTTTTAGAATGACAGCAATTCATCAGGGTCAGGGGGACCAGTGAAAATAACAGAGAACCGATCAAAGAAGACCAGTTTCTTCCGTTGTTCGCTACTTTGATGAACTCTTTCTGAGAGACTGCAGCACACCTCAAGGACCCTTTCCTGCTTCTCTGAAAGCACAGGTCAGCCAGCCTCAGAATCACACCACCCGGCTGCAGCTGAGAGCACCACTGAACCTAGACTTCTCGACACAGAATGCCACGTGGATTCCAGCCTTGTGGCCTATCAAGATAACAGGCTCCTTTTTTCAAACATGGAAGCAATGAAGTGGAGACATACGGAGGACTTAACTTGTTTTTCCTTTGGTTTGTCCCAGAAGCTGCTATCTTTTCTTTTTCACTTTGCACATCAGTGTTAGTTAGCCTGTCCCTGCTACAGCACAGTCTCAGACTCATATTTGCACACTTATGCCTCATGAATTCGAGACAAATTTGTGCGCTTGGGATGTTTGAACAAAGTAAAACATTTAAAGCAGAGGTTAACATACTAAAATTAAAAGATGTTTGGTCTGGGTCATGTGACCAAATGTTATTGCATTGATAGAATTTTTTTAAGGGCTCTAATTTGTGATTTCCTTAAATAAGAATCATTAAATTCTGATAAAAGTCATCTTAAACATTCATTTAAAATTGTCCATCTATTCGTCAGAGGCCACAATTCCTTTATTTCTTCAGATTGTTTAGAGTTTTGTCTCATTCCTGACCTTTTTGCTGGAGAGTTTGGGTCGCTGAATAAGTCACTTTTTCAATTGATTACCTCTCTCTGATCAATAGAAGCTACATTTGGAAATCACCTTAATCTTGCGTTTCCTGGGGTTTGTATTTACTATTCTTGCCTGTGTATGACCTGTTGTAACCATGCTGTTATCAAAAACATAACATATTTGAACATTGTTGTCTGTTTCTAATTGTGAACTTCTTGAGCTGAAATTTTACATAGGCAGAAAGATGTACCATTTAGGTCTTATTTTAGATTCTTATTGTGGTTCTGTCACATCAGCAATGTAATAGATGCAGTATATTTTTTCTTAAGTTCACTCTTTAGCTTGCTCCTTTATTTGTAATACCCAGTCCCTACTGTGATCCCTGTCTGCAAGAGTCAATAAGTATTAGATTTAGATTTTTGTCTGTAGAAAGCATACCTATAGGGAGAGAGATTAACTTGTTGATATAAATGTAATAGAGATAGCTCTTGGTAATGGTGAACAGAATGATTTTTTGTTCTGTTTTTATTTGGACTTTTTTCTTTTTTTTTAAACAAAGGTAATTAGACCTAGTGCAGCCTCTAGGTAAAGTCTTGCCTTTTCGTTAGAGAAAATAGGAGCAAGGTTTCCATTTTAAAACAGCTGTTGTTGAATGCGGAGAACCCAATTCCATCTGTTTGGGTTTGTTGTTCTAGAACTCGGTCCAGGCATTTGGGCCAAAGCCAACCAAATCTTAGCTGCCTTTCTCACCAGACACTGGTACTGGTATACCTTTTGTAGATGAAACCTTCACATAAGGAAAAAAAAAAGCTGTTTAGCGTTAACTTATGTGCCAAATTCAGATCATCATGTTGTTGTTGTTATTCTAGCTTTCAGTGTCATAATACGGAAGGGAGTAATGAGTAGGTGATTAGGGAAATGAATTCTGTCAGTAATTATTCTTCCTGTTAGGCCTTTTTTGTTTTATGAAGGTTACCATCATGCTTGATAGTTGAGAGTGAAGATGAAAATGGAAATGGATTGCTTGTTACCACAGAGCATCCTGCTTCAGATTAAGACGTAGCATTAGAATGCTTGGACCAAACGTTTACTACTTGTTTGAAAACTTATGTACAATTTAGCAGCAGCAAATATACCAGAACGATTTTTGATGGATACACTAAACTTAATGTTGACAAATTTCAGCCTTCTTGATTTTTTTTTTTTTTTGTACTTACCTATAGGCCTACAGGCACCTGTTGGTGTCCCAGTATAATCAGTAGTTGCTTGATTGAAAGTTGGTTGTACATCTACCATTTTAAAATTAGATACATTTTTGGAAAGAAAAAAATAATTTCTTAGAAACATCTTGTATTTACTAATTTTCTGAAAAAGATCCAAGCAGTTACGGTTTCTGAATGGTAACGAAGTACTTTCTAAAAGGCAAGTGCTATGACACCATGTATGAATGTAATTCTCCTAGTAATTTACCTCTGCCTATTTGGTGTCTTAACACTTTGGTTTATATCTCAGGGGTTGTCTGCAAACCAAAACTGACATATTCTGTGGTTAGCTTTTTTTTTTTTTAAACACATTGCTTTGCTTTTGTTTCGTTCCTTCTCTCTTCTTTTGTCTTATGTGGGTTAATAATTAGTCTCCATGAACTTCCCTTTGAAAGAGCCTGTAAAAGTTAGATGAGTCTAAAAGTGCTCTTTGAAGTAGCAGCGATTAGGGGGTATATGCTCTGTTATATAGAACAAAATCATCCTTTGCTATTTTCTTACATTTAGCTTTGCTAAATTGTATATAATTTGAGCTAAGACCATAGGAAATTCACTTTCTGCATGGTAAAATGACCCAATAAATATTCCACTTTGCTTAATAATGTACATAGAGTGCATTATTTTTTCTATTTGTAGATGAATTTAGTGACAGATAATTGTCTGTTCCCTGCTGAAACTGAAGAAATCTAGTTTTGTGTGAACATGTTTGTGGTCTTATGGATAAGGTACATGAAGACTTTTGCAGCAGTATTCGTGGTTCAGTGGCCGCACTTTATTATCAGTGTGCTAATTTTTTGACAATGATTGGACTAGACCTTTTCACCTAGAGTCTGAGGAGATCAGACACTGAAAATGTGCTGTAACTCAGTAGCATGTAAACCAGTTGATTGTAAAACGTTTTACTGGGAATTTATTTTAGCCATGTTTTACTTCATACAGATTATGAGAAAATAATCCACCTGTGCATCAGTTAGGAGGTGCCGCAGGGTTTCTTACTATTTACATGAACATTTTGTGCAGTCTTTGTTATAAGTGTTCAGAAGACTATACTCTTTACTTTGAAGGACTATTTTTTAATTATACCTCATTTAGCTAACTAGTATTCTAATACCTGGTAGAAAACCGGTGAGCCAGCCTTTAAGCATCCAACACCATTTAGATTATATGTTTTGTTTTGGACTAAAGACATCATTGGAAAAGGTAGGAGATAGTTTACTCTAGAATAGAACATACATGTCATATCCACTAGTGCAAACAAGGTATGATCTCCCTGTCTCCATTAAGCAATTTAGCTGTGCAATATAGATGAACGTTTGCAGAAATTTCTAAGAGATTATAACTCCATTTTACAGATTCTGAATGCTGAGAATCTGTATTAAGACTTATAAAGTTTTTCCTGTGAACAGTAAGTGATGCATTTAAGCAGATTTTTTTTCTAGTTCATGAGTTAGCTTTCCTTATAAATTTAGTACTTAATCTTTAAAGATGAGCTTCTAAGCTTCAAATTTTAAAACAGCATTTCATTATGTTGGTTTCCTTATCTCAGATTTTAAGCACTCATTTCTGCTGTCAGGTTTTTTAGAATTTTTCTTTTAAGAGAAAGGACATTCCTTTTTCCCTTCTTGTTATATCCAAAGAAGGGAGGGAAATGGAATGTCCAAAAAAAAAAAAAAATGAAATTCCTTGTCCTAGAGGGAATATGCTAATAAAATTTTTAATCCCAGCACAATTTTACAGAGAATCAGTCTTTTTTTTAAAGACTAATAAAATTAATGGGAGTCCTGTTCAGTATGAAAAAATTCTAAATGACTGAAATTTACAGAAGTGAAAATCAGCAAACAATTATTTTAGGGATATTTTCAAATTTTACTTCATTTTTTGAAATGCTTGTGCCATATGTGATTGCATCTCTTATTGCCAAGAACTAATAGAACTTCTTGTTTCATTTTCTTACCTTTTTAAAAATGTGAACTTAATTATTATAATTCATTCCTACGGCCTTACAGATGGGTTTTATTTTGTTTGTTTGCAGCTGACACTGCAGTTCCTTCAGGGCAAAATGCCATAAACTGTTTGACTAAAATCATGCCCCTAATGGGAAATATCTGGTTTTTCCATAGAATTATCCTTCTGTGTAGGTTTCAGCATATTTTATCTTTGCTTCAACAGCTTAATGTGAAAAGCTCCTGCAGATAAAGTGAACCTGTCATGTGGTTAATCTTGTTTAAGCCAATTCATTAACTGTATACTGCTACTGATGCTGTGGTTTGTTTTGTTTTGTTTTTTAAATGGACTTTATTCCAGGTGAACTTTTTTTTACAATAATGTTCGTCTAAAATAAAAACTACATAATGAAAATGCTCATGACTCTGAAATGAATTGTACATTTAAAAAAATGTGTCTTCGGGCGCCTGGGTGGCTCAGTTGGTTGAGCGGCTGCCTTCGGCTCAGGTCACGATCCTGGAGTCCCGGGATCGGGCTCCCTGCTCGGCGGGGAGTCTGCTTCTCCCTCTGACCTTCTTCCCTCTCATGCTCTCTGTCTCTCATTCTCTCTCTCTCAAATAAATAAATAGAATCTTTAAAAATAAAAAAATAAAAATAAATAAAAAATGTGTCTTCAGATTTGCTAAGTGTATGAGTCAAACCGCGGTAGGCTTGAGATACTTTAGAAACTTAATCTCACTTGGAGTTTTTAAAGACTCAGACAAATGGCTGGCTCTCCTGCTCCTGCCTGGTTCCGAATACACTGAGCCAATTCTGTTATAGAACTGCAGCCTTAAATTGACCGTCCTTCCCTTCCTGGTCCGCCCAAGTTTAGTTTCTGTTGTTTGGTTTTTTTACTTCCAAAAACCACAGACTGAGAGGCCCCAGCCCTGTCGCTGTTCTCCCACAGCGCGTGTGCCTGTTCCCGCTCGTAGCCTTTCACGTTCACCCCACCGCCATTTTGAACCTTCACTGTTCTCAAGCTTCCCACTTCTCTCCCTCTACTCTTGGGAGACAGCTCTTTCACCTCCTGCCTCTCAGAGAAAAGCATCAGCTAAAAACAAGGCTCTCAGCCATCTCTTTGTGCCTAATCCATAGCCTACCAGGGGCCGGCAGCCAACACCACCCTCATCCTCACTCCTCCTTTTGGGGCAGAAGCTTCCCTTCCCTTCTGTGCCTTTCTCACCACGGCCTCTTCTCTGCGCTCACCCTCCCACCTCTGCCCTCCAGAGAACTCGCGGCTCTTTCTCTTCCACCTTCACACTCTTACCCCGCGTTACACCTGCCGCCTCAGCATCTCAGCGCCCGTAACATTCCAGCTGTTGGCCTTGTGTCTCTCTCACCTAATGCCCTTTTTCCTCTTTTCCTGTTGTAACTCAGCTTCCTCAAAGAGTTGCCTACAGTTACCATCTTCACTTTTTCGTTTTTCGTTTATTCCTCAGCCTACTCCAGCTTGGCTTCCCCTCCAGGCCCCTCACGGACATTGGGCTTACAATGGCCTAGTTGCTCACGTAGCAGACAATTTTCAGTCCTTATCTTGGTTAACCTCTTGGCGGCATTTGACCAGTATATCTCTTCCTCCCAGAAACGTGCTCTTAGCTTCTGGACAGTGTTCTCCTGATTCTCCACTTTTCTAAAAATAATTTCGTCCTTTTCATGACTCTTAAATGCTCATAACTTCTGTGATCAGCTGAATAGTGGCCCCCAGGCATGTTCACGTCCTAATCCCTGGAACCTGTGAATATTATTCTACATAGCAAAAGGGACTTCACAGATGTGGTCAAGTTAAGGCTCTTGAAAGGGAGGATTGTCCTGGATTATCAGGGCAGAGGATATGTAATCCCAAGGGTCTTTATGGGAGGGACACAGGAGGAGTTGGAATCAGAAGGAAACTAAGGGATGACAGAAAGGGAGAAAAGGTGTGATCGTGCAGTCCTGTGAGCCAAGGAATGTAAGTAGCCTCTGGGATCTGGAAAAGGGAAGAGAAGAGACTCTCTCCCAAAGCCTCCAGAAGGAACCAGCCTGGCCCTGACACTTTGGCTTTAGACTGGTAAAACTCATTTCATAATTCTGCCCTCCAGAACTCAGAATAAATTTGTGTTGCTTTAAGCCACTAAATTTGTGGTTATTTGCTACAGCAACAATAGGAAACTAATACAGCTTTCAAGTTTGTATCTCTAGCCCCACCCTCTTTGCAGACAGGAAGACTTCCAAGTTGATCTGCCTGGTGGACATCTCCCCTCAGATCTGCTACAGGTACATCAAACAACATGTCTGAAACTCAAACTCAGCTTACCATCTTTGCTGCTCCCCAGCAGTTCCCACCAACAGCCCTTAAACCCAGGAGGAGAAAGCTATTCTCTCTCCTCTTTTCTCCCTCGTGATAGATAGCACGATCATCTACCTAGATCCACACACAGTTCACCAGCCTCCAAGTCTTCTAGATCAAACACCTTAAGCTCTTCCTCATCCATCCACTTGTCCATTGTTTCTGGCCCTGTCTGTGTTCAGGCCTCCTCATCTTTTGCCTAGA